AAAAATCATTCTCTCAATAAAAGAAGTTTCTTCTGCTCTTACCAACATTTAGAATTGTGAGGATTTTAAAATGTTGCCAATCTGGTGACTGTCTTTTGTCATTTTGGTTTTCACTCACATTTCTCTAATATCTCGGCATTTGAACACTGAATATTACAATTTATTATTGGCTGGATCTCTTGGCCATTGAAGTCTGCCTTCAAATACTGGGCTGTCAGAAAAGTCATGGTGTAAATTTCTATGCAATAATGCATCATGACTTTTGCATAGAAAACTACACCATGACTTTTCCAGCAACCTAATAATATCACAGCACTCAACAAGTTTGTTGACATTCTTCAAATTCCACCAGGGCAAAAAAACCATTATGTGCATGTACTTGCATGGGTGTGTGTGTGTGTGTGTGTGTGTGCACACGTGTGTGTGTAACCAACAACCTGGTCCAAGACACTACCATCTCTGTGTGTGTGTGTGCGTGCACACGTGTGTGTAACTAACAACCTGGTCCAAGACACTACCATCTTTCACTTCCTAAACTAGCTCCTCTGGTTCTACTTTGCTCCTGACCCCATAATACACAGAGTGAACTTTTTCAAACATAAACCACAAGGCACTGCTCTGCTCACTATCCTCCAATGGCTTCCCATCTCATTCTGAACAAAAGCCTCTCATTACCATGACTGTAACAAGGTCCAAAGTGATCCAGTCCCTGGTACCTCACTAACTCTCCTCCTCACTCGGGTCCAACCACACTCACCTCCCCATTCCTTGGAACACGCCAACCACTGTTCCATCCCCTTTCCTTTACAAATGTCCATTCTGTCTTCAACACTCTTCCCCAGACTGCATACCGTGTTCCCTCAATTCCTTGAGTCTCTGTCTAGGAGCAAGTAATCTAAAAGAATACTACAGTCTCCCATCATTTCCAAATCCCGTTATCCCACTTTATCCTCTTCATAGCATTTATCACCGCCTGACACTGTATATGATTATGTGTTTTCTCTCTTCCTGAACGACAAGTTTCATCAGAACAGGAATTTTTATCTATCTTCAACACTGTACACCAATACTTAAACAGTACCTTGTATTTATACAGGTACTGACAAACATATGTGAAATGAATAAATTAAAATGTATCAATGAATGAGGCAAGAGGCCAGGTGTACATGCCTAACCTATGACCCTGGCTGACCAGGCCAGCAGAGAATCACAGCATGAGATCCTGCTGCTCCTGTTTCCTCTTAAAAGATAGAAAGAAAGAAGAAAGAAAGTTGGGAAAGAGAGAGAAAAAGAGAAAAAGAAAGAGAGAGAGAGAAAGAAAGAAAGAAAGAAAGGATACTATTTATACTATTTCTTTTATAAGAAAAGTAAAATAGTATCTGTAAACTTTCAGAACAGAAAAACAATTTGCCTTTTCCTACTACTCCCTTCTTCCCATCCTTATAGATCTAAAATGCAGGGTTTCTATGTCATTAATTCTTCAACAATACAAATACTATGTTTTAAAAATCTGTCCTTTTCCAGTGTAAGATCGCAACAATATTCACAGCTATTATTTAAGATTTAAATTTTTTTTAGGAGGGATTTTTGCCATAGGGCGCGTGTGCTGGCTGGAGAGACAGAGACCGAAAGCAAGAAATCACCCTCTAGGGAGATGGCCACCCACAATCCCTTCTCCTCCACTCTCCTCTCACATGCTTGTTGTGGTTTTAAGCCACCAAGTTCAGGACTTGAACCACAGTCAACTATGTGGAAGTCCAGCAATGTAACCATTATGCCATCTGCTGGTCCCTACACTTACATTTTAATAGTTTCATTTGTTTAAATGTTTCTTTTAAAATTTGCCTTAACACTTGCTTTTTAGACAACTACGACTTGTTTAAGTAAAACTCTTTCACAAATGTCATTAAAATTCAGATTGAATCCCTGAATTTCTGAAAATGTCTTTCTTCTGTATTAACACATAGGCAATATGGACTGTATAGAGAAATTTGTTTTCTTCTAAACTTTCATGTTACATATAAATTGTAAACCTGATTTTCTTTTCTTTATTTATAACTTGGTTTTTGGTTGTGTCTTTTTCTCTTTGAAATTATATTCCACCAGATATAGCTAAATATGCAATTTTTTCTTTTGCTTGGCATTTGGTGAGATCTCTGAGTTCAAGGTTTCAGTCTTTCTTTGGTGCAGGATGAAATTTTCTTCTATTATTTCCCTCATGATAGTTTCACTTTTTTGCCTTGATTTCTGGAAATCCCATTATGTTTATCTTAGTGCTGGCCAACAAAATATAATTCAAGCCAGAAAAACCATTCTGAATTTCCTAGTGGACACATTAAAAAATAAAACAGGTGAAATGAATTTTCATATTTTATTCAAAAAACATATCAAAAAAGTATCATTTGAAAATGTAAAACACTGGGAACCAGCAGTTAGTGTAATAGCTATGTCACTGGACTCCCATGTAGTCAACCGCGGTTTGCGTCCCGGACCCAGTGACTTAAAACTCATGCCGGGCGTGCGTGCGTGTGTGCCCAAGATCCCGAGAGGAGAATGGAGGAGAAGGGATTGCGGCATGACCATCCCCCCTGGAGGGTGATTTCTCGCTTTCTGTCTCTATGTCTCTCTCTGTCTGGCGAGCACACGCACCCTATAGCGAAAAACCTCTCAAAAAAAAATTAAAAACAAAATGTAAAACACTAAAATTAAAAACAAGATACGTTATATCATTTTTTTTATAGTGAGTGTTCAACAGCTGGTATGTGTTTTCTGATTGCTAATCTCAACGTGGACTAGTCACTCTACAGAGTCCCCTCTCCCGACTCCTTTTTTCCTTCCTCCGGAGTTCTTGCCCTTCTCCCTAGAAGCCCTAGTCCTTTTCACCCATTTTGACTCTGAAGCCTCAATAGCCTCATGTGGCTGGTGGCCACCATACGGGACAGTGTGACAGACCTGGAACTACCATACATGCCTTTATAGTTCCTCATTTGTATTCTTTGTCTTCTGAATTTTAAAGAGAATTTATCAAACTGATTTTCAAAATCAACTCAACTCCCTAAAGTATGTACCCTATTTATTCTGCAATGACTTTTTTTTTTTAGGTTTTTGCCATAGGGCATATATCCTCACTGGAGGGAGAGTGAGAAATCACCCCCAAGTGGGGGATGGTCATGCTGCAGTCCCTTCTCCTCCATTCTCCTCTCGGGATTTTGGGCACACAGGCACACGCTCATCATGGTTTTCACCAAGCTGCCAGGTCTGGCACTTGAACCATAGTCAGCCATGTGAGAGTCCAGCAGCTTAACCACCACGCCACCTGCTGACCCTGCAACAACTATTTTAATTCAATAGTCACACCATATCTATTCAGGGGCTCTTTCTTCATAGTGCACTGCTGCTGGGCAATGAAAGTCTGTGCTAGTTACCAAGGAACATCTTCTAGACTCTTGGGAGTTTGTCTTACACTTTCTTTTAAGTTCCCTCCACTCTCCTACAGCCACTGTGTCTCACTGGGGACCTCTTGCTCTGTGCCATCGGAAGGAACTTAGGTGAGATCCTAAGCCTTCTCGCCCTCCTGGTGAAAACATCCTATCTGCACAGTCTCTCAGATAAAGATCTAGTTTATATATGACTGGTAGCAAGGCTGGGAACCATCAGTGCTCACTTAGGAAGGTCATAATTCATTTTGGTCCCAGAAAAAAAAGGAAGAGTTTAGAATTAGTGACATTCTCAATAGTAGCTCAAAAATCTAACAATCTGGGGAACGAGCAGTTAGCGTAATAGCTATGTCGCTGGACTCCCACATAGTTGACCGCGGTTCGCGTCCCGGACCCAGTGGGTTAAAACTCACACCGGGTGTGTATGCGTGTGTGCCCAAGATCCCGAGAGGAGAATGGAGGAGAAGGGACTGTGGCATGACCATCCCCTCTGGGGGGTGATTTTTCGCTTTCTGTCTCTATGTCTCTCTCTGTCTGGCGAGTGCACGTGCCCTATAACGAAAACATCTCCAAAAAAAAAAAATCTAACAATCTGTAGGAAATAGAAATTATAAGCAAGAGAAATACAGTGAGATTAAACTCCCATTTATGTCTACCCAGAAGGCCAATGCCAGCTGTTCAGCAATGGGCTATTGTAGTGGACAGCACAGAGAATACGTTCTATTGCTGTGGGAAGTTCTCTTGGATAGTACTAGGTTAGCTAATTCCTCTGAAACCACCACCAGCAGCTTTAGCTCTATAAAATTCCCTTACTCCTTTTTCCTTCCTGCAGGAGTTCTTGCTCTTCTCCCTAACACCCCTGGTCCTTTTCAACTATGTTGACTCTTAAGCCTCTCCCGAACCCAGGCATAAAAATCTATGACCAATTAATTGTAACACGTATTAACAAGATAGGCAGAAAGTCGTTTTTAGTATTTGAGAACACTAAAACAGAGAGTACAGCAGTAACAGTCACTTCGCAAGCTTTGGAATTACTGTCGGACAAAGTAGGAAAAGCTTTCTAGTACCAGCATTTGAAAGAGATAACTGACATTAGAAAATACCTATGGTGCATGTACGGCCAAAATGTAGGGGTCAGATGTCAAGAAATAACGGACAGCTGATAAGGAAGAAGACATGAAATTCAAGGTGCAAAGTGGAAAGAATTTCATTTGAATTATGAGCTATGCTGTAACTAGAAAATACATTACAGATATTATAAATTTGGGGTAGACTGTTAGAAAACTAACAATGAAACAAGCATTATCCAAAAATAAATGAAATGATGATGAGTACAGTTCACAAGCCTTGCAACCCGGTCCTATCACATTTAATCAAAGACTACGTTGCCAATGAGCTTCTGTGCTTAAGCATAAAGCCTTTGGGTTTACTGTTTTATAGTGACTGGCATAATGCCACCAAGAAAAATTCAGTGAAGGTCAATGAAAGCTGCATGTTCTAAATTACAAAATTAAGAACAATCCTTGGTGTTGGTCCTAGCAGTTCAGTAATGACAGAAATTACCTCAGTAACAGGGGCGTTTTCCTGGAGCTCCGTGGTGTGCGAAGCCAGTAAACCAATCACCCGAGCAACCTTGGCCCGTCTGTAAATGAACAGAAAATAGGCTCTGAAAATAAGAATCAGAGACCAAAGAAACCAACTCGGCTAGATACATTATGCAATAGTGAATACTAAATACTAAAGTGTGAAATGAAAACGGATCGTGATACCAGGCACATACTCTCCCGTGTATACAGCCCAAAGAAACTCTGCATCACACACAGGGAGACGTGAACAGCAATGTCCTCTTGCAATATTGTTTGCAATAGTGACAGAAATTAAATAAGTTGTGGTTTAATAGTAAAACAGGAAATAAAATGTTCAAAGACTTAATTTAGTTATCTATTTATTTATTTATTTATTCTAATATCCCTGAGTACAGAAGCATTTGGCTAAAGGTCTCTGTTTTCCTTGTTTATATACCATTGAGTTTCTATATAAGTAGCAAATAATTAGTATCAGAACAGGTAAGCCTATATGTATGTACGCACTAACATAGATACATATTGAGCATAATAGAAATTTTATGCTCAATCAAGTCTTATGAGTATTGTTTTTTTCTGTATTTATTTTTTTTTTTTTTAGAGATTTTTGCAATAGGGTACGTGTGCTCACCAGAGAGACAGAGAGACAGAAAGCAAGAAATTACCCCCTCCCACCACCACCACCGGGAGAATGGCCACAGTGCAATCCCTTCTCCTCCATTCTCCTCTCAGGATTTTGGGCACACATACACACAAGTGCCCAGCGTGAATTTTAAACCATGGGTCCAGGACTCAAACCATGGTGGACTATGTGTAAGTCCAGCAACATAACCATTATACCATTTTCTGGTCCCCAAATATTGCTTTATTTTAATAAATGCTAGTTAGTTTTAATGAGGTGTCTGACATCCAGCAGAAAATGAAGTTGATATATTACTAAACACTTCAATGTGATCTGAAAAAGTATTCCATGCAGAAAGTTAGTTTAGGTAAGATTTTTTAAATTGAAGTTTGTCTCCAAAGCCTAGTAGTTAAAAGAGCTAGATCCCACACGATCAACTGTGGTTTGAACTCTGGCCCCTGTGGCTTGAAAAACACACCAGGCATGTGGCATGTGTGTGCATGTGGATGCTTGAGTATGTATACCCAAAATCCCAAGGAGATGGAGAAATGTTATAGCATGACAATACCCCATTGGGTGAGCTTGCTCCCTCTTCCTCGCTCTCTGTTTTTCTCTGGTGAGTGCACACAAACATCGCGAGTTGGTAAGAACCATACTCTACTTTAATGAAGCTTACATGGTTTCTGGGCTAATCAGTAGGTACATTCGCCAGAGAGCCTCTACTTTAAAATAAACCTGCGCAGGACCTGAGGATAACAAATCCGGCACAGAGAAGTGCCACAGGGAAACTACCTGTGTCGCCACAGCTCTAACAGAAATGATTTTCATAAATGTCAACACTGCCTGAATTGTCCACCCAAGTCACTCAACATATACAGATTAAAGAAGTCCTCGGCATTTGTATGACTAGCATCCAGCCACTGAATACAAAGATTACAGGTAGAAAGTACTGACAGCAGGGCTAGAACATCACTGCTGCACCACAGTGGAATCCGAACTATATACTTTAAAACGGTGAGTTTTATGGCAAGTGAATTCTATAGTAAGAAGAAGTGAGAGGGAACCAGCAGTTAGCGTAATAATGGCTATGTCGCTGGACTCCCACGTAGTCGACCACGGTTCGTGCCCCGGACCCGGTGGCTTAGAACTCACGCTGGGCGCGTGTGTGTGCGTGCCCAAGATCCCGAGAGGAGAATGGAGGAGAAGGGATTGTGGCGTGGCCATCCCCTCTGGGGGGTGATTTCTCGTTTTCTGTCTCTATGTCTCTCTCTGTCTGTCTGGTGAGCACACGCGCCCTATAGCAAAAAATCCTCTCAAAAAAAAAAAAAAAAAAAGAATCCCACACCCATCCTATAGGAGTTTTAGAAACAGGAAAAGCATAAAATAGACAAGAAAAAAATCATAAAGCAGTAATAGGAACTTAAGGAAAGGATAAAGGATTTTAAACAGCAGCTACTGAAGCAAATTAGTTTAAAGAAAAAGAAAGAAAAAAGAAAAAAAACTCCTAGACATATTCTATTGGGCTGTCAGAAAAGTCTTTCTGCTTTCGTGTTTTCCTCTGCAAAAATGCATCATGATTTTTCTGATGACACAACAGTAATATTGCACAAGCCTAAAACAAAAAGAGAAACTCAATGAAAAGGAAAATCAAACCAGAGGCATACAAAGAATAAAAGTCAGATTGGCCTCCGAGTCCTCCAGAGCGAAAGACAGCACCAGGAAGAAAGAACAAATTCCAATGCCCTGACAGTGAGCATGGCCGAGGGATGCCAGAAAACCTTACCAATCCAGCTCCTGAAAAAATTCTTTATAAAGCAAGTACACTTTCCTCCAGCAAGACTTTACAAATCATCTTATTAGATTATACGCAACATCATGGGGAAGTAATGTGATACATTAGGGAAAAATACAGGTGACAAAAAATTTCCAGGCTAGCCCATGACCTGGTGGTGAAGGGAGCTGGATCCCATGAGGATGATCATGCAGCTGGAATCCCAGACCCAGTGGCTTGAAAAACATGCCACACATGAGTGCATGCATGCCCAAAATCCCAAAAAGAGGGAGAGATGAAGGAGAAGAAATTACCATCCCATGAAAATGGTCTCTCTCTCTCTCCCCATCTCTGTTTCTCTCTGATGAACTCACGTACCCTCTGGCAAATTTTAAAAAAGAAAGAAAAATTCCTAGAAAGTATAACTAAATTAAAACACAGAGATCTATTTCATACATATACTCAAAAGAATAATAATTAATAAAGTTTCCAAAAGTAGCTTAGATAATCTTTGAACTGTATTTACAATATTCGGCTAAAGAGAAGACATCTTCATGGCTACTGAGAACTAGTGATTTCTTTTTTTTATTTTTGGAGAGGTTTTTGCTATAGGGCGTGTGTACTCGCCAGACAGACAGAGACAGACAGAGAGACCGAAAGCGAGAAATCACCCCCCAGGGGGGATGGTCACGCCGCAATCCCTTCTCCTCCATTCTCCTCTCGGGATTTTGGGCACGCACGCAGGCGCGCCCAGCATGAGTTTTAAGCCACCGGGGCCGGGACGCGAACCACAGTCGACTACAGGGGAGTCCAGCGACATAGCCATTACGCTAACTGCTGGTTCCCTAATTTTTGCTTTAAAAAAATTTTTTTTCTAGTTTATTTTAATACTTTTTTTGTTCTTTTTCTGTTTCTTGGTTGTTTTTGTTACTGTTGTTTCTATATATATATATATATCTCCTTTTCTGCACTCTGCTGGACGCTCAGATCGAACTTGAAGTTTGAGAAGAAACACACCGTCCATCAGATGACTATAAATCACCACACAACCACAAGAAATATGGGAAAGCAAGAAAATACCTCTCCTCCAAGGGAAAAGAATAACTCCTCTTCATCAGCACACTTTTCAATAGAATCATGGAAATGTCAGATAAAGAATTTAGAACATTCATAATGGCAAAGCTAACAGAGATGGAAGAGAAGAGAGACAATGAACTGCAGAAGAGAATGCGAAAATGTGCTGCCAGTTCCAGGAGGTAAGGAAATCCTTGCAAGATCTGAAAGAGGAATTACATACTTTTTT